GTTCAATTCCCTGGTTTAAAACGGATGTAACTTCAAACATCTCATCCAGTGTGTTCCTGGAATTATCCACTTATTACAAAAGAACAGCTGCAGTTCTGCTTAGTCATTCCACAGCCTTTACCACAAACATTCTAGTGCTGGTTTTGCTCTCCAAAGGCCATCCATTCTGTAGAAAAGCCAACTCACTCAGATATCCATGTTTTCCCTTGATTAATTGGGCATTTTAGATGATGTACTGTGTTTTGGAGGCTGCATCTTGTGAGTAAAACAAGAAATGTAATAAAAACATTTCCAGCGCCTGTTTTCACATTGTGCCTTTTGAGAAAGTTGCACCTAGAATAAGAACTTACAAAATCACTGATACAACAAGCTCGGTCACAAATTGTCATCTATTTTATGAGCGTCATTTGACTACTGTTTTTATTGCCATTTTTATTTTAAAACTAGTTTTGCTGTTTTATTATTTAATTATATGGTTCTTTAATTGTGTGCTTGTGGCATTTTTTGGTTGGTGTACAACCTGTCTTAAACTGAAATCTCAAAATCCCAGAGAAGTACCTCAGTTTTTATAAAATAAGATAATCTAAGAAAGAGGAAGATGAGAAAGACATTCATCTTACTTACTATGTTGGGTTGCTAGTAGGTGATTGATCCAAATGTACAGTATAGCTTTTTCACAAAGGGAGTTATTCTTTGGGTTTTAGCAATGTGACAGGGCAGCTTGTTCTTGATTTTCCACTGGCCTTTTTTGTAAATACAAACCTCATGTTTTTATGTTTTGGGTATTTTGTTTATTTTATAAACACACATCCAAGTGTTGCACATGTTTCAGCTCACAAAAGCAATTCCCGTTCAGAACTTACAGTATACTGCACAGGGTTTTATTCACAGGAAATGGAACTGAGGTTGCCTTTAGAACCGTTCATTTGTTAACACCCTGCAAAGCCCTACAGTGCCGTAGAGGAAACATCACTCATTGGAAGAGTTTCATATCTAATTGTTGGCACTGGAAGCCTGAGGGAACTCAGGAAGTTGCAGGATGTATTGTTGTGCCAATAACTGAGAGGGCTCTGTCCCCCTATTTCCAATCCTGCCTTCAGCTGGCTGAAGACATAACCCAGGTTCGTACTTGTGATATTTTCAGTCATACAGCTCTGCATGGGCACCGTTATTGGCTGGGTTTCAGGACTCTTATTGCAGAAAGCCATCCAAAACCAAAATTATCGTTTGAACTTGGATTACACATTCCCCCTTCTCTTAACGACGGACTTATTTTCTTCTAAATTCTCTCCATTCATTTGCAGATTTTGGTTTTCCACCCCTCTCCTCCTGTTTTTCCCCGAGTTTGGAGACTCATCCTAACCTGCTTCATTCCCCTTTTCCCCCTGCTCCCTGCCTCTTCTTACTCCGTCTCTTGTTCTTCTATGCCGTATTTATCTGCTACCTTTCCTCTGTCTCTCACACCTGAAGAAGGCTCCACAGCCGAAATGTATCCTCTCAGATGCTCCTTGCTCTCCGCCTTCAATGCACTTCTCCCTAGTTTCCTGTTTTGTTGGTGCGTCTTCGTTCTCCAAACTAAGAAGGAATTTGAAACATCTAATGAATGGTATTTCAATGTTGTAGTCTTCGCAAGGCAAAGTTGCCGAGGCAGTGAAGGCTGCTATCTCTGTGGGTTACCGCCACATCGACTGTGCTGCTGCCTATGAGAACAAGAATGAAGTGGGAGAGGCCATAGAGCAGAAGATCAAGGAGGGGGCTGTGAAGAGAGAGGAACTTTTCATTGTCAGCAAGGTAACCGGCCCTTGGGAGATGTTCTAGTCATTCACTGACCTCCACTGGAAGAGAAGCACGTGGTGTCCAGTAGTTACAGTCAAAAACACATAGTGCAGTACATTAATTAAATTAAACTCTTAAGCAACTTCTAGTAGCTCTGAGGAGGTTTTCAGCAAAATTAGGTGAGGTATTACTGGTAAATATGTGTATTCTTTCTACATGAGAAATTGGAGAGAGAATGGTTTTCTAGACAAGATGCAATGAAATCAAAACGTCCATCAGCCCAATCAATCACTAACTGGAATATTTTGTACTGTAGTTGCTTTTCCATCAGGTCGTCAAAAGAAACATGCGGCACACAACAAACAGAAAATGCAGCAAAGAATGCCCAATGATGAGGAGCTGCTGAGTAACAGGACAGGCTTACTGGCTCAGGGCTGAGAGAAGGCACTGTCTGGCAACACATCTTCTGAGAGCTAGCAACATGTGGAAATGAATATAAGAAAAGACCAGCTATGAAATACAGGTTAATTACGAAATACAGGTTTTCTATCCATCCATTTTATAACCACTTCATCCAGTTTAGGACTGCAGGGAAGTCAGAGCCTATCTTGATAAGCAATGGGTGCAAGCCAAGGTACACCCTGAGTGAGACGCTAGTCCTTTGCAGGGCACATACAGACAAACACAGACACAGAAACACACATCCACACTGACGTCATGGCCAATTTTCCCAGAAGTCAATTAACATACAAGTATGCCTTTGGATTGTGGGAGGGAACCCATGCAAACACAAAGACAGCATACTGTTCCTGTACAAACTTCACACATACAGCACCACAAGTATAGGATTGAACCCCAGGCCCCAGTGCCCCAAAGCTGTGCTAACCACTGTCCCACTCTGTGGGTCCACAGCTGTGGTCCACCTTCCATCGCAAGTCAATGGTGAAGGAGGCCTGTCAGAAGACTCTAACTGAACTGAAGCTTGACTACCTGGACCTGTACCTCATGCATATGCCAATGGGGTTCAAGGTGAGCTGCCTCTTTTAGTTATTTTGTGTTTTTTTCTCCTAGATATTGAAAGGCGACTGCTGTCACAGACTAATTATAAATGAAAGCCACACAACATAACCCAGTGGGAGAAGACTTTCAAAAGAAGTAGCAAATAAAAGTATATGTCAAATACATTTTCTGTTTCTAAACAAGTACTGAATGTTAATATACTGTACCTTGAGTGATATAGGTAACGTGTTAAAATAATTAAAGAACAAGTAAAGGTTTATTCCATACTGACAAGAGAAGAGCACCTCAAACACCTAAAGAAGGCTCCACAGCTGAAACGTTGTGTTTCTTTTCTTCTCTTTTCAGCAGGGAATAAACCTTTACTTGTTCCTTTGCAGCTGAATGCACGCTGACGCAGCTACCCACTTGAAATAGTTTAATTTAATATTTGTTGCTCTGTGTCAGGTATTGTTAAACTTAGCTTTTGAGTGTTTTAAAATGCAAATATCTCCATTAGCAAATGCAGGCTGAGCCCTAGATTTTGCCATATGGGTTCATGTTTATGGTCAGCTTTTTTTGTCAGCTTGCAATACAACAGTGACCTCCAGTGGCAAACTGGAGGCCTACATTAGTCCATGCTTTGCAGTTGGTTTCAGCAGAAAAAAAAATATATAAACTTGATTTTAAATGCAGATGCAGTAATAAGGAAAATATTTGTGCATAAGTAAACCATAGACATGAATTTCATGCAGAAGTGGAATTTAACTCATTTTGCTTTGCAGCCTAGCAGTGAGATTTTTCCTTTGGACACGAATGGACAAATAGTGCCTGACAACACCACCTTCATGGATACCTGGGAGGTGAGGAAATTGTTTTTTTTTTACTTGTTAAAAATTAGTAACTTGGCTTGTCAATCTTATGACAGTTTGACTTTTCAGTCTTTTGCATGGATGAATTTGATAAGCAGTGTGTGTGTGTGTGTGTCTTCAGGCAATGGAGGAGCTGGTGGACGCGGGAAAGGTCAAGGCCATTGGGGTGTCAAACTTCAACCACGAGCAGCTGGAGGCCATACTGAAGAAGCCAGGCTTAAAGTACAAGCCTGCGACTAACCAGGTGCATCTTTTTTCCTTTCTTTCTCGAGCCACGTGAACCCCTTGATTCCATATGAATCATCACTCTAAATGATCATGGCTGTCTTTTGAAAGATTGAGTGTCATCCGTACCTGACCCAGGAAAAGCTGCTGAATTACTGCCAAACCAGAGGCATTGCTGTGACAGCCTACAGCCCGCTGGGTTCTCCAGACAGACCATGGTGAGTCTACAGTCAGCCAGGGAGAGTAGAGAGATGTTTCCTTTTATTTTGAAGAGTAGCCACTAATCAACAGGATATAGCCACCTCCAGGAGGTGAAGGGCTAGGTCTTTATACCAATGTGGCCTATGGGACATCTGAATTATGACCTATCCTATCTCACTGTGTCTGTATTCAGCTGTAAGCTGGCCTGTAGCCTTTTCATGGTTTGATCCATATTCTTTTGTTTTCTTTTTGGTGAAGAGATACTTTTTTCTGGGTTGTTTGGGTGTGGCTATGATTCTACTATATATCTTTGTGCATATTTGTTGTCAAGACAGTCACCAAGATCAATGTTTTTTCATATTTCCCCATGTGCAGTAGCTCGCTAAAATGACTAACCATTGTATTAGAAATTATTTCTTGGAGTGTGGTATCGAATGATGATGAGCACTGAAAGCAATGAAGGCCAAAGTGTTCTAAATGTACAAATCCATGCAATCTGTGTTTTCCAGGGTGAAACCTGGGGACCCTACTTTGCTGGAAGACCCAAAAATCAAGGCTATTGCTGAGAAGCACAAGAAGTCTAGTGCTCAGGTAGAGGTGACTAGAATTTACCTTGCAGGAATTGGAACAATTAAAATTCTATGCTTCAAATGATCAAATACATACATATTTGCCATATTGCTGTGCAACAGTAGAAGATTAGGCGTGCATATTTAACTGAGATTGAAAGCCACAGAAAAAAGAAGACATCAGTGTAACTGCTAATCAAAATAAGCATCCTACAGTAGTTTTCTTTTGAACATGTAAGGTGAACTTGTTCTTGTCCTTGTTCTTGTCCTGGTAAGGACACTGAAACTGACAGGAGCAGACAGAATTCCAAGATAGTCACGGTTGGGATGACCCCTACATTCAGGAGCTACTTTTGTTTTGTGCACAACTATGCCACATAGCAATTATAAAGACTACTTACCTTCTGTTCATTCTTTTACAGTGGAACTATGATCTGTTATGAACCGCAGCATAAACCTTTCTCTTGCACAGAGTGAAACTAGTGTCCCTTGTGGAAGATAGTATATATAAATATTGTCCATTCAGTCACCATGATGCAATACAATCAGAGTCCACTTTGACATGCAATATCATGCAGTATCTGCATGAATGATTTATGTGTTATGGTATCCAGTGTCAATTGTAACTGGCTTCTGCTCTTATACTCAATATTACCAGTGTCCGTAATGGCACAACATCATGTGCCCAGTCTGATGCCTGGCATATCTAGTGTTCACCCAGCCACACACTAACTGCAGAGATCTTGTCTTGACTGTTTAATCAGGTCTTGATCCGCTTCCACATTCAGAGGAATGTGATTGTCATTCCCAAGTCTGTAACCAAACACCGCATTGAGGAGAATTTCAAGGTAATTATGAGAAAGATGACCACAGAGTTAAAAGGTTAAATACAAACCGTTGACATTAGGCTTCCTCATAGGTCCTCTCCTGCTGAGTGCTGTTGTTTAAACGTTGCTCAATCAGTAGAAATAAGTCATATTTTTCACACGTCTAAGGCTAAGGCAGCTTCTATTATCAATAAATATCAGAGAGCTAAAACAGTTTAATTCTTGTAAGTAGTAACAAACTGTTGCCCTGACAAGTTTAATTCAGTTTGGTTGAATTAACAGTCCACTATATTTCACATTCATACAGTACATAGAGCTACCAATATTCCATACAAAAAACAGTCAATAGGGCCTTGGCATTTTTTAATTTATCATATTTAGTTATTTCTTGAAGGACCTTGAGAAACCAGCTTTGATGAATATTTAAAAAAAATACTTTAAAAAAAGTAATAACATTTTGAACCAAGTAAATTAACAGCAGGGAGAGAACAGCAATGAGAATAAAGATTCCTGGAAATTGACGTTTTTTGGTTCTTTTCACATGAAATAGAAAACACTATCCATTGTCTGCAAAGTTAAGTGCTGATTCAACAGAAGTATGGCTACAACAGGCTACATGAAAATAACATCTAGATCCATTCTGTTATTGTGGCAGGTCTTTGATTTTCAGCTGGATGTGAGCGATATGAAAACCATTCTGAGCTTCAATAGAAACTGGAGGGCCTGTCCATTTCAATGGTGAGTATCGAATGCTGTTAGCAGCTATAGATAGTTTCACAGGCACGACAAGAGGTGTACTGAGGCACAGCAGTGAAGAGGGTAGAATGTTGATCTTAAAAGGCTTCACACAGCATGTAGAGAATTATTTGGGATTGTCTGAATAGGAGAAAATGCTTCTTCTGCATATGGTTTGGGTCTTTTAAAAAAAACATGCAAAGTTTCTAACCTAGTACAGCTTTTAAAAACCTCAGTTGTGGCAAAGTGCTTACAAAAAAGGCTCTTTGATGACTCAACATGCAACATGCATGAGGCGATTTCTTTGAATTTCATGTATTTTAGATCAATGGTCCTCACCTGAACCAGGAGAGCTTCTGTTTTTCAGATTGCTTGAGCCCTTAATTCCATGACATATTGACTTAACTGTTCTTGCTCACACCTGTTAGCAAGACCTCACTGTGTTATACTCTGTATGTTGTGGTATTGAAAAAAGCAATCTAAAAGCAAATTATGACCGCCAAACCTGAAAATACAATGACAAATATGTCTTGTCCTATATTAAAAAAGTTATCTTAGACATGAGATTAGCCCAATAGGGACAAACATGGACAGATTAAAGGAAAAGGCACAGTTGAGGTTGAATTTGTCCCAAACTTGGCAGCTCAGAGACATGAATAAAGGTGATCTTACTATGCCTTTTCTCTTACAGGTGTACAAATCACAAGGACTACCCCTTCCACGCAGGGTACTGAGCAGAGGGGCAGAAGAAATGTACACACTAACTTGCTACTTGAGCTCTGCTGTTTCTTTTGCTCTTTTTTAACACGTCTGCTTATACAATACATTCCATACAATCATTATTCCATACAATAATTGAAAGGCTTTCTTTAGAAAAGCAAATTGTGTTCACTGTTGATTATAGTGACATATAGTACAAGTGAGAGAGAGGTGCATGGATATTAATTAAACATTTTCCAAACATACTGATTAGAGGAAATTAAATCTTTAGAATTCCTAATTCTAAAATGTGTACTCCTCATAGAAGAATTATTCAGCATTATCCGTTGAAGAATTACACATTACACAAGTCAAGCAGTCAGCTACATGTCTAATACTTTTTATAGATGTGAGATTACTTCACTTCTGTTTTCATTTGCTGTAATGAGGCCAAGAACACTGCTTATTGTAAAGGTTACACACTATCTCGCAATGACACAATCGATATTCACTAACATCAGCCTCCCAAGCCAAATTATTCAATAGGTGGGAAGTCTCCAAAAGTTAATGATATTCTTTAAAATGGGTATTTAAATCTTTTGTTTTAATTGTACATACAGTAGGGCTGAAACCAGACCAGTGACACCTTTGGCTCAAACACATTTTAGTTCTGGCTGGGTGAAATGCTTCTGGTGATGACATTGATCTTCAAGCTCTGTGCTATGCACTAGAAATACATTTAAGAAGTACAATTTTAGTGCTCGAGAGAGAACTAAACATGGTTTAAAATGTCAACTACAGTTTTGAAAGCAGGTAGCAAGCACAGAGGTGCATATACAAAGAGTCTTGACATTAAGAGTTATTCCATTCAAAATTTTATTTCCAAAATATCTTCTGACAACCTGTACTGTACACTCACAATTAAATTTGCATCCTTTTATATTATTTATACAACTGCCACCAACTCCATTACATGGACTGTTCCAACACAAGGCCAGCTTGCGTCACAAACACACACACAGCAGGCATTCTGCAGAAATGGTTATTTTTTAGAAATCAATCACAACTCAGACTATTCCTCATCACATACCTTTTTTTAATCTTAACAGAATATTTTCCCCATTGGTTTGAATTTGGTTTACTAGTACGGTATTTACTTCCCAGCTAGAGCTGAAATACTTGTAAATATAATTTTTAAATAATGACACTATTAGTTTAGACAGTTAAAAAATATCACATGGCAAGCTTCCTGGTGATGACTTTTTCAGAAATGTTCAATGCTACAGTTAGCAGTCAATCTTTGTTAACATTATTGTACATTTCTCAGCTTCAGAGCTACCTATACAGTATATATATATATCAGTCAATCTGTGTTAACATTATTGTACATTTCTCTGCTTCAGAGCTACCTATACAGTATATATGAAAAAGTACTGCAACGTGGCCTTTATATTTGATTATGGACCATTCTTCACTTGTGTGAGTCTCTGTTCACTAAAAGAGGAGAGAAACTGACATTCTAATTAACATTTGAGCATCAGATGATAGACAGCATCACACATGCACACTTGTCAAACCCTTATATCATGAGCCTGTAGTACAGACAGCAGAGGTAAGGTATTGGGATGAGTTTAAGAATATGCTCACCCTGGTTAAATTCAATCACACCTTATCTTTGCAACTGCATCCTTGTCCTTGATGCAACCTTGATTGCAGCCATGTTCAAGCATGACATGAAACTCGAGAACCACTTGAGTTTCTTGTGCAAGGTAAGGGATTTCGGTTTATACAGAGCCAATATCAAAAGAAGATTAGATTTCATTTTCCCCCACTTTGACAGCCATGTTGGAAAAATTCCAGCCTTCTCCTGATAGAGCTGGCACAGGAACCTGGTTCTGCTTCACATACTTACAAATGCATAACTTTAGAAAATGCCAATACAAATGATCACCTTAAAGAATGCATATGCAGGCAGACTCCTTAAGTACCAGCGGAGGCAACTAGCTTGAAATTTCATGGCTATGCACTCAGACTAAAGATAAACACTTTGACAGGTGTGATGGCAAAAGATTAAATTAACCTGTGGAAATGTCTGACATCATGAACTTCCAGAGTAATGCTGTTTTTTTTCATTTGGGAACAAATGACGACTTCCAATGTCTGCAGTGTCTGTAGCCTTCCATGGATAAATATATACTGTACATGCCTTTAGCTGTTTTTTTTATTTAAAAATTCAAAATGAACATCTAACCACTTATCTCTATATGGGAACTATGTGATTTAAGGGAACATTATATATAACTTCATCGGGTTGCAACTGATCCAATTATTTTTAAACAATCATAACTGGGTTATTCTACATCAAGGATTTCAAGAAAATGACAAAATCGTTTAAATGTTTGGTGAGCACTACCTCATAAGCTTCACTGACATCTCCATTCCCTTCTTTAAAGTTGTTGTTAATGATTAAGAGAAACAGAATGTCTGAGATGCCAAACGGCACATTCAACTGGTATAACATAATGGTAACAATGGTAATTGTAACATATTCTCAACATACTGAGTGTAAAAGAAGGGAACAAACTAGTACTGAAGCTAAAATTGTGTTTAGTTATATGATTAGAAGCTAGTTAATGTCATACAAGATGTCATCGCTGTGGCCATACAAGTCAAAGTCAAAATTTGAAGCTCCTTGATGGAGAATCATGGGAGTGGGTGTGGCCATGAGACCGAGAAAAGGAGCAGATTTCTCATGGGAAGGAAAGCAGGGCCCAGAGGGAACTCTTTCCAGGGATGTATGCAATTGACACTGTAGTTACAGATAAAATAGTTCAGAATTAATTAGCGGTCTTCGTATTTGTCCAGAAATGTGGACGTTGAATCTGCACGCTCACCACTCCTCCCATTCTCAGTGAGGCAGCTTTTTAGACCAGTATTAAGAAATGATCTGGGCTACCTTTAACTTGGTCATCAACACCCTTAATGAAGGCGTGTTTAGGAAACGAAAAGGACTTCGTTGAAACTGTTCTACAAATTGCTTTAATTAGTGAAAAGACATGGAAAATGATATAAACATGAATTAAAATGCTCTCCCCCATCCGGCTTTTCATAAATATCATAAAAAAATTAAAACATCTTTCCTTTTATATTGCACATTAAAATCCGGGGTATCAACAGGGATTATTTTATTCATGCGACATCCTAAACGCCGCAGTGAACAATTCTTAGTATTTCTCCAAGTTTTCTGCCTGTTCCAATGGTTTTGGGAAGCATGCCTGTGCCTGCAAGGAAGAAAAACCCCTCACATCTTATATCCAGAGAGGGCTCGAGTGGTACAGACAAACTGGGTCAGACTGCAGGCTGAGCCCTGATGTCACTAGTTTGTGGACCTTGTCATTTGCTCTCTGTGGCCAGGGCAGCCCAAGTAGTGGAGCACAACTGAACAAGTGCTTTAATCAACGCAGGCCTCAGTCAGTCAGGGTCCCTCTAGGTTTTGGTCCAGCAGACACTGCCTGATATGAGCACATTTCCTGTAATGTCAATCAGAAACGATCCACTCTTCCAATATCCAGCGATGTTCCTCTGATGCAGGTGTTGTATCCAGAAAGCCAAGCTGATAACCGCCAAGTCTGAATCGGGAAGGTATAATATTGGCAACTTGAATATTTCTAGCCAATGACAAAAAAAAAAAAACAACCTCATAGTACCCCGATTTTGAAAACAGAGCTGTAAGAACATTTCCTGTTATACCTCATGGAAGTCAGCATGACCAGTTTTAGGTTAGCTCAGTTGCAGCTTGGACCACAAAGTGGAAAATGTAAAAAGCCAAAACATAGGGAGTACACTTGTAATAGCAGACAACTCCAAAATTGTACTTATGCTACAGCCAATCCTAGAATTAATTGGATGAACTTCAGCAACATAAATCTTCTTTGCATTCTGCCCATGAGAAGTTCCTTTGCTCTGTGTTGTCTACACGTTTGTGCGAAGGTAATATTGTGAAAACAAGCACATTTTGTTAACGTGTTTGGGGGAGGGGGTGGTATACTGGTTTTTCGCCACCAGATGGAGCCAATGCAACATCGCTGGAAAAGGAGGCCAACTCAACTGCTGCTCTGGACAGTAAAGATCTGTACAAGTCCAGGTGAGCGCTGTAGGCTCAATAGCGTCCATGTTCATCTGTCGCAGTAACAATCACATCCATCCAAATCCTCATGGCTTCAGCAGTGGGAGCCACCATGAAGAAGAGTCGGTCGTACGTCTTCACGCAGAAGGTCAGCTTAGGGTGAGGGCTCTGGAAAAGCAGAGGGACCCACTTCAACACTCAATTAGAACAGCTGTACTTAGCAAGCTTGGCTTCTTTGTGACTTCATTACTGCTTTACAATCTGTATGGCTTTCTGTAAGGGAGCAGCAGTACAAGCATTTAGAACTCCCAAATCTCCCATCACATAGTCTGCTTAAGTTTTAAAACTAAAACATTCAAAAACCAGAAATAGACAATCATGTCTGCTCCTTAACTGAATTGTCAAAGACATTTTCCTCCTACCTTGTGAAACTAATACTAATATTTTCACATACTCTTACAGGATGCAGGGTGCTAGGCAGATCTATATCTTGGACAAGACGGCAGTTCATCCTAAAATACACTCAGATGGACTTTTGGAGACAGTAATTTGACAATGGCGATAGGACACCAAAACACCTGGTGACCAGGAGAACATGAAAACATGAAGGCACTTGAGTCTGAAAATGAATCCAGGACACAGGAGCTGAGGCAGCAGGACTAACAAACATGTTGCCATGGCACCCTGTCCCATCATTTCCATTTATAGATTGCTTCAAACTCAAGCTAAAAGTAACTCAACTCCTGTCATACATCATACAGCATGCAGATACAACTGAAAGTAAAGAACGACTCATTGACATTTCAAAAACAAACTACTGTACTAAAATAGTAACTCACTAAGCCAGAGAGAATAAAGAAAATGCCTTGTTCTTCCAATACTGTGGTCAGAACTGTGGAAATGTGACAGCAACCTTTTCAGTGTAGGGTTCAACCAAACTGTACCTTGGAGGCACTTCGTAAATGATCATAGTACACCTCTTCGATAGCCTGGAAATAGATCACGCCTTTCAGTTTAGTCTCTTCTTTGTCTGAAAGGTAAAAAAACAAAACCAAAGCTACAGTTGGAAATGACGAAAGTCCCTTTCTTCCCTGGTTTTGTACAAAGTGCCTGAGATCAATGGGTGACACTGACTGGTTTTTGGTAGAATCCACATGTCCTCTGAAACCTTCCCACACCACTAAGAAAGCTCACACAGGAACTGAATAACGGTACCACATAGCTCATCTGAATCTGTTTTTTCCCCCAATTAATGACACCATCAGGTATAACAATGCATATAAAATTGTAGTACAGAAGAACAACTACTCTGAGAAATGTAAAAATGTACTAAAAATCTAAACATTCATGTGCTATAAATTATTTGTAGTAGAAATGTCATTGAGTAAAGATGACACAAATATTTTGTTCCTCAAAAATCGGATCATTTGACAGCCACCGCCAGGTGTTGCTGCCAACACACCATCATCTACGCCACACTGTCACCCTCTGCAGCTCCCCCTCCGGTGGCCCTCTCACCTGCGAAGTAGGCCAGCCGCTTCTTCTCGCCGTCGAACACAAACCACCGCTTCTTCCAGGTCTTGATCTTGCCGCCCATCTTGGTGAGGAAACCCTTGCACTTCCTGTGGGTGACGGCCACTGGCTGGCAGGTCTCCACGCCGTGCCCCAGGGCTTCCAGGTGGCCGCGCAAGTCGAAGGCCTCGCAGCTGATCAGCGAGCGGAAGGGCGGGGGGCTGGCCTGGCAACGCGAGAAGAGCCGCGCAGTTTCAGTCTCGTTCACAAAACGCGGCCCACTGCCCCCGCGGCTCGTTCAAAGTCACGGGGACTGACTTTTTGGATCCAATTAAATAATATTTCCAAAGTAATGAATGCTGGGTATGGCAGCACCCAAAGCTCCTGGGCCTTTGCTCGCTGGGAAGATTCACGAGTTATTGAAAATTGATTGCTATAATCCTGCTTTCTGAAGAGCCTCGTTCTTTAAGAGGTGTAAAACGCCAGCCTTTTGGTTTATTTTAAATGGTGTTACTCACAAGTCAATTTAGATTAAAAAACAATGTTAATTACTTGATGATAATTCCTTGGATAGAATGTTAAATCTCCTTCCCCTTTAAGCTTAAAACACCAGGGGTTTCAAGAGTCTACCTCCACACTGCTGCCCAGAGAGCTGAGCTCCGATTCAGGCGACGGAGGTGGGGACGACTCCAGTTCTTTCTGCCTGGCCTCCTCCTCTGCTCTCTTCTTGGCCTCCTCCTCAGCTCTCTTCTTGGCCTCCTCCTCAGCTCTCTTCTTGGCCTCCTGCGATAATTATTTTGAAATATCCGTTGTTAAAGAAGCAAGGGGCAGCGCATGGATACTCCCAACATGAAATCCCTCTTCAAAGTGTGTCAATGTGAAACATAGCATACGTGCTTAGAAAAAAGCTAGAAATAAACTTGTCAAATGAGATTTCCTGCCTCTGTCTACATGGTTCTTACTAGTACTAATCAAAGGCAGGGGGCAAATGGTTTATGGTCATTCGAATGATGTTGTCTACTTGTTTTACTTTCCTTGACAAGCTTGAAAGGTGAAGATTTAGTTGTAGCCTTTTTCTAGTTTTTAACCTTTTCTAGTACATACAGACTGTACGGCAGAATCACCCACTACAGAGGTCTATAATCCTAGTTGTGAAGAGCCACAGTCCTGCATTTTATACTTGGGGAAACTGCTGATTCCCAGTGCTCCATGGTCCTCCAGTCAGTGGTCAGACTCACCCGGACTCTCAACAGGCGCTCCCTCTCAGCTTTGGCCTCCCGCAGTTTCCTCTCGATCTCTTCGATGTTGGGGAGTCCCTGTCCTGGGCTATAGGTACAAGCAGACGCACAGGTGAGCTGCTGCCTGTTTGGATGGCTGGACGTCCGATTAGAACAGTGGGCAAAGCCCCTTTCAAAGCCTGAACTTCTGGCCTTGCAAAACACAAACCACAGACCACAGACCAGGACCACTGCAGCATGCAAACGTTCTGCCCACTCCGTGTTGGGCAGTATGCTTTGATGTGCTCAGGCCTTCTACTTTTTAGGTTCACTGAACACAGACCAAGAAGATTTGTGGCAGCATGTCTCACACGGAGGTACCACCATTTTTAACCATTATTATAAAATTGCATTTTTTATAGGTTGGAAATATCCACAAAATGACATCTTGCATTTTTAGTAATCAAAAAATAAAACAAGTTACATTCATATAAAAAACCAACTAAAACGAAAAATCTTGTAATTGCAGGTCTATAGTGCATCCAGTAGTCATATTGAGTTTAATAATATTTACTTTGCTGTTGCTTTCCTTAAATGATGCCCATATCTTCTGCAGGAATACTGCAAGAACAGGAATATTTATAGATCGCTGGGCTGGAATCACATTTAAACCTCTAAGATTTTTTGCTAGATGAAAAACAAACCTTATTTGAAGCTGTTTTACCTTAAATTGAAGTGATTTCTTATGAAATTAAGACTGTCTCTAGCAGGACCCAAAAAGCACAAGTCCTGTGTGTTCCCAGTCTGCAAGAACGTTTGATGCCTCTAACCAAATTAAATATTCCTTGATTACATTTTCCCATTACCATTGATCATGGAATTTAACAGGTTCTTTTCTTTTTACACTGAAGTGTCATGTACTGGGTAAAATCATGTCAAGGAGGAAGGAGGTGGGAGGAATCTGGAATGAATGCACCTATTCGGAGAAACTCAAAAGGGCTAGACCACACCAGCCCCTCTAAATCAAACACAGAGTTGATGAGAGATTGATCTGAATGAGCTGATCCTTAAAAGCTGCAGACTAGATTAATCAATGCACAGATCCTTGCTGAGACCACCTGCAGCAGCTCCAGAGTTGCAGGTCAGCAGCAGAACTCACCTGGATGCCTGAGAGGTCGTGACACTGTTATTCAGGGTGATACTGCCATTGCAGGAAAGGAAGCCATTGGCCTGGCTGAGTGGGGAAGAAGGAGGGCTTTTCGAGGTATCTGTGCTGTGAAGCTCTGAGACTGTTACTTCTGGAGGGCATGTGGGTTGGGGATAACTATCCATGGTTGTTAATAGGCGACCTGTGAGGAAGGCAAAGCACAGCATAGGTCATGGATAGCAGGCTTAACATCTGTACAATACTAGGTGAAACAGCTCTACCCTCCATCTTAAATCTCATGTAAAACTGCACAGAATATATGAAGAATGGCTGCCTGATTTTTTGGTTGCTCTCTAAAGCTATGGGATAGCAGCATTGAAGAATGCAGTGTCATATTCTACTCAGGTCCTTTATGTAACTTACCTTTACTGATTTCTATAACTTGGAATGTTTTTTGTATTTAAATTGGACATATCACTTAATTTTCTTCATATTTATTCGTACATTGGGCATTTTCAAAGCTTTTCATTACTGAGAATTTCCCGAGAACACTTCAATCACGTGGATGGGGAGGTACAGTACAGATACTGAAAATACTGCAAGTGAAACGTGTGCAGTTGGAGTGAGTTTGATCTGATGTCTCTCAGGTATCTCCTAACACACATATTGCACACCCTATACAAGCAGTAGATACTGTACATCCTATACACACCAAAAGGCTAGCTCCCAACCAGAGAAACAGGAATGCCAATAGGAATTCCTGGAAGGGCACCAGTGTAACTGTCTCATTTTAAAATATGAGACCTTTTACTCTAATAGCATTTGTATTGAGTGTAGAAAATGTATAAGTAAGCTACTTACTGTAGTAAATAGGTAATGGGTAAAGTGGGATTTTCATACAGGGTCCTTAGAAAATAAAGCAGGACGGCAATCATACTTTCTTAACTGAATACAGACGCCACCCCATCCTCTCCTTGTCCTTACCGTGCACAGACACAGGCCTGTCAGGGGGCTTGCAGTTCTTGTCTGAGCTCCTCCTCTTCTGCAGGCTTGACATGGCATTCATGTCCGGCAAGAGATTCTTTGACAGCAGAGAACAAGAAAAAGATTACATTCTTCGGAAAATTGGAGTTTTCCCCATATAAAGCATCGAGGCACTCAAGGGCGCTGCTTTAAAAGTAAATTTATGCCCTTAGAGAATAAGAAAGGTTACAAATGAGAAGAAGCCACTTGCTACATACAGCTCATCCGGTAGTTTGTAGTAAATTGATTCAAATATCCCTTCCAGCCACTTGTTGAAACAATTGACTCTGAGAACATGCCAAGTAGCTTGCTCCATTAAGTCCTTTAGTAAAATGGCAACATTACCTACCTGTTTACATTTTTAACACCTCCAAATACACTGTCAAACCTGTATATTCATATTTTGTGCTGGGCTGTAGTAAGACCTTTGAGTGCTCACAATCAAACACAAGATTGCACTCTGAGTCGGGCATTAGGGAAGAGTGGGCACACCCACCTGTCCTGGCCTGTGAATGGACAGGGGTGACAGGGACAGCATACAGGGAGCAGAGCCCGCCAGGTGGCCCAGGTCAGAGAGCTGTTTCTTGTCCTTTAGTAAATGCTGTAAGAACACAAAAAATATTCCACCTTAAAACACGCAAGGCATGTTCCAAATCCTTGATTCAAACTGTGATGACTTTAGGCTGGTCCAGCTCCTCCAGAATTATTTGTCAATCATGCGATGCTCTTGGCTGAGGCTGAGGCAAGCAGAAAGCAAGAAGCGAATCATGTCTGACAGTGGGATGTCTCTCTCAGTCCTGGAGCCAGCCTGGACCTGGTGCTGACCTAGCCAAGCCACTCCAGAACCGGAGTACAGTCAACCCTGGTGTGGTCATTCGCTTGTGGACTTTCAAATGAGGCTCCTGCCTTCCCCACATTTCAAGTTTCACATCTGCAGTAACTCTCTCTCTCTGTATATGAGGTATGGAACTTCTGTGCTTGCGGCCTTGTTTGGACAAATGAACAGATGCTAAGGATAAAAAATATAGATTAATTTGCTGTTCTGCTTTATTATTAATACTGTTAAATTAGTATACTATAAGTATAGCACTATAAGCGATCAAAATCACCTCCTCATTGCTCTCTCTGGCCTAAAATAATCAGAAAAAACATTACCTTACCAAAGGTGCTGGTAGTTTCTGTCCAAAACAGCTCAGTTCATATGGTGGATCATGTGAAAAGCAAGGATTTCTTTTGTTTTGTAAAAATAATTGTCTTGAGAATAAATACTGGCTGTAAAAGAGGTACTTGGACATGTGAGAGGAAGACTGTCAGATGGCGAAAGCTTAGAAGCGCAAAAGTCCCAGAACAGGCACAGACCCAGTGACTGCACAGACAGCACCCTTGTCTAATTCTGAAACTAAACCAGTTCCTTAAAATTAGTGCCTGTGCAACCAGAGGAGGCAGCTATTAAAGAGAACTGCTGCATTTGTTTATTGAGCTGTGTTTTTCCCCCTTCAAAGTGGACAATACTGCAACCAAGGAGGATCATCCACACAAAAACTAAACAGAAAGACTCCGACATGAATACAACTGACAGGTCTGCTCTCACAATGTTTGACAACTATTAACACAACTAAAATAATACCCATGACAAGCAATTGTCTCCTCAATACAAACACTTTGTCAATGTTTCAAACAGAACTAAGCAGCTGGACCCTTCTTAGAATTTCATTAAGAAGGTACAATGGGGACTGACATTGCTTAGCAGAATTTACTTTAGTTATATTACTGTAACAGTGGGAAGTTATAGCAGGGTTATAGCTACAGTATATAGTGTAGCTGGTGCATCCAAAACGTCCTGGAGGGCAGCGTGTCTGTCTGTGGGTTTTCCGGGTCTCTTTAAAGTAGTCACATCTGAAGATCTGTTAAAGTGGTCCATTCATGCTGGTTGCCAACTGACTTAGCTCGTTAAGAGTCAAGTTGGAATTTAAGCCTGAAGATACAGCTGTGCTCCAGGACCAAGACTAGACACCTCTGCTTTATAGGTCCTAACTTCGGGCTACACATTATATATTTTCTCCATAAAATATTTTTTTATTTTGTTGCATTTACTGAAATCCATGTTGCAATAAGTGCCTAACCGCTGGGACCTGGGGAATTCTCTCTTTTGAACCAAAATAAAGAGTACTCTCACCAAGCAGCCACCTCACACAAGGAGACGCTAAATAATCTGTTAGGGTTCAAAAGTCAGAGGTGAGTCCCTGCTGTGTTTCAGAACGCCAGTGTCTGAAGGTCAGCTCAGACCTGACAGGCAGGGAAACAAACTGTAATTTTTCTCCATTATCTCAGAGCAGGAGCTTGGATTGACTGGAGGAATAAGGTGACATTCACATCAAAACCTGGCAGAATCAAGCTGACCTGAAACAGCTAAGCGCCCAAGATCTCATTAGGGACCTTGTTGACTTGTCTGTGCTCTACGCAGCAGTGTAATGGGGTGGTGGTGTTGGCTACACTGCTCCACCTCCCCCTTAATGTTTTTTCCCCCCCAAGATAAAGTGTCATCACAGGGGTAAGTGAGAGTGACCTCGAATGTGATCCCACTCACTTGTGTAAGAGTTGGCTATTTGTGTGGAGAATCTTGGTCACATCTGGCTAATGACAGCTCAGGTTTGAACTAGCCAAGCCAGGCTTCAAGAGCTCCACCTGTGATCTTTACATTAAACTGAAAGAAAAACTGTCCATTTGGGAGCAGAAGGAAGTATTAAAAAAAAATCTCTAATCACACTCTTCTACCACATTTGCAAGCTGTTGTTTCTAGTTCTGGTAAGTTTGTTGTGACTTTAGACTTTAGAAAGCCAGCTCTGTCAAATGAATAGGTATTATTTTCAAGGTAGAGCTCCTTTAAACCTCTGTTTCCCAGTGATATAACAAATAATTAAGAATTGAAACTAAGAACTGACCTTAAAGAGCTTTGGTTTGAAAATGAAACATGACATTTTATTGGTTTGTGATGGTTGTTCCTGTAAATGTCATGTATTATACAGTATGTTGCCCTGAAAAATATGAAAAGTATGTGCCTTTGACAATAAATATTAAATGTTTCATTTTTCAGCACAATTCTAGATTTCTGTCTCCGCTTTTTTTTTTGCTAAAAAAACATATTCCTCTGGCCAGTAATTGCAGCTTTCCAGCAACCTGTAATTCAAGCCAGGCCTTGTCTGAGGAGACAGATCTTCACTCTTTCTCTCTCTCTAGTTCATTTGCGATACAGTATGTCAACACGTTACATATTTGTGTCCTTGGGAGATGAGAGAAGTAGTTTCCTATGCTTTGCATTCTGGGAGAAAAAAGGCACTGTATTGAATGACAAAGTAAAATCTGAGTGACAAAATATAGAGTGAAAGTCCCTCAACTACAGCTCCATTTAGCTTTTTTCAAACGGCCTTCCACCCTTTAAGCCTTCAAAAGGTTCCATTAGCAGTCTTTGTCACTAGACTTTGGCGAGTGACATTAGATTTTATATAAATGTATTTATTACTAGGTGTAGGATATTTTTATCTTTATTAACCAAATTTGTTTTAAATTTTATTTTAAAAAATGATCGATTGGTCAGGAAGTCGTGTTCAAAAACTGGTGAAAATAGATGCGTTATCACGTGAAAGCATCTCCGAGATTAGTGATCAGTGTCACCTATAAACTGTGTTTCAGTGATTGTTAAAGTAAATTACTCAGGGGCTTCAATGCTAAAAAAGAAGTTATTCATTTGGCAAAAAAGCAAACGTTTAGGTTTTTAACTGGGAAACAAGAGGGATCAAAGGTAAGTCTAAAGGGCTATCATGTGACTAAAAGTAAACACTGAAAACAAAGAGTCCTACCTGTAGAAAATTGTCTGCACCAATACTATTTTACTATTAAATGCTGTGGGTTTTTTTTTTCCTATGCAGCCAGCACAGGTTAGAAAAGAAGAACCACATAAACTGTGACAGCTGGCAGTTAGCTGATTCTGACTCCTGACTACACTCAAGCAAATCTGGTCAGCCAGGCTGGGTCAGTCAGGGTGACTAAATATCCCATGATTGACTGTTCAGCATATCCCATCATGGAGGGGTGGGGTGTCCAAGTGCCTCAGATCAGCACAAACTCTGTTCCTGGCTAATTCCTCCTGGACTCTCCTCGGATTACAGAATGTCCCATTGCTGATAGCGCAGTGTTTCTGAAGAATTTGTGAGGGTGCTATTTAATCTGTTTTTATAACTAGAAAACATAGCTAACCCTGTGAGGTCTATGCATCTGCACACCATTGCACAGACATCTTAAAAGTGTTCTACTGGTAAGGATTCCAGAAAATAGAGTTTTAAAGTTTCTTTTAAAATAAAATAATTTAAACTGCACTTTAAGCATCATACCTCTGCTTATATTTATTATCCTGCTCAATTAATCAGTTGTCAACAGTAAGCTGTAGCACTTAATTGACAAGCTGCTTTCATTTTAAGGGAAACTTTATAAAATGTGGTTCTATTTTATAATAAACACTAATAAACTTTATTTTATGTAGCACCTTTAAAGGTGGCTTCTCAAAGCGCTTTACAGAACGACAACAAAAACACACAATGAGAAGAGACAGTAGATGGGGGTACTGAGTACAATAGGAGCAGAGGGGTAAAGAACAGAACCAGTTAAGTAAAGGCTGTTCTAAAGAAGAAGGTGTTTAGTCTGGATTTGAAGGAGTTTAGGCAAGGTGACTCTCTGATAGCTTTGGGACATAACAGGAGAAGGCCCTGTCACCCATAGAGTGTAGACGGGCCTGAGGGACAGACAGGAGACCAGAAGTAGAAAAGCAAAGATTGAGAGGTGGGGAGTAGGATGATAGGAGCTCAGACAGGTACCGAGGTGCCAAGCCATGCAGAGCCTTATAGGTGAGCATGAGGATTTTAAAGTTGACACGAAACGTGACAGGAAACCAGTGCAAGGACTCCAGGATAGGAGTAATGTGATTACTTGCACTAGACCTGGTCAGGATTCTGGCTGCCGAATTTCAGACATACTGGAGTTTGTTCAATGTGGATTTAGAAACCTTGGCAAGTAGACTGTTACAATAGTCAATTCGGACAAATGACAAATGTGTTGATCAGCTTTTCAGCCAGTTAGCAATAACACAGGATGTAGTCTAGCGATATTTCTGAGGTGAAAGAATTTTAACGTATATTAGGATAGTAAGGCTTGATAGTCATTCAAGCTATTGTTTCCCAGTTTGTCAGTGACATGCCTAGGTTTTGATCCAACCAGCATCTAAATTGCTTCTTTTAACATGCTCTCAGCTTCATTCTGCAGTGAAAACTTAGTGTTCTTAGGCCTCCATCAACTGCAATGTGGGAACAATTTGCACAACAAAAAAACACACATTTTGCTCATTTGCAAATAATTTTAGAGAAACTGGAAAACACATCAAAACAAGTACTAGAGTCTGTCTGTGGCGTTCTCTTCGCTCAGGTCTATACAGCAAGCTGTCAAGTTTAACTGCAATCTGACTCCAAGGAGTTTGAAAAAGTAAAACAGAGCCTAAGCAATTCCGTTCTGTCATCGAAAACGTCAAGACTCTAGAGACCACAAACAAACACACAATAGCTTGGATGGAGCTCCTAAGGTTCAGATGATGGCCATTATCAAAATCACAGGGTCTGCTAAGGTTCTGACAAGGTACTACAGCCACATTCTTTTAATTCTGCACTATGGCTCAAATTTGGGAGTGAAGGTGGACACCACTCTCACCACTGGTTCCACATTGCTCCAAGTCATAGGGCAGAAATGAAATCAGATGATCAAGGTAATTAATGAAAACCACAAAACCACTGAGTTAGAACTTTATGCATACACTAAAGGAAAACTTGAAACCTTCAAAGACGAAATCTGCGAAGCAGCTGAAAAGTCTGATGTCTGATTATTGGTAACTTTAAACAGACAATGATGAGACCTATTAATTGTGCTGATTTTTACTTAACTGGGTTATCTCAGCTAGCTGACTGCAGCTCTGCTTACAGATAAGAGCTTGAGATCCCCTACTTAAAAGAGTGAAGCAAATTTTCAATCAGAAAAACAACAGTTTCTTACCATGTGGAGGCATTTGAGAAGATCTTTCCTGCCCTGGCTGAGCCTCTGCAGCTCCTTGTCACTCTGCTTTTGGACCTGCCTCACTTGATCTCGCAGCTGAATTACCCTCTCCTGCAAAAAGAAATGGCTCGATCCCTTAAGAACAGTCGTGCACAGACACACACACACACAGAGGATGTCTCTGAGCTCCAACTCTTACACAACAGACAGAAGGTCTGACTCGTCCCCCCTGGCCGTCACATGACGACAGCCCACAGAGCTGTGTGATTCAGCGGGGCTCTTCTCTGTGGCTGGAAGGCGGGGTGATCTATGATTGCATTAGAATGCAGGATTAGATTAAAGCCAGCGCACTACCAGCTCCCTCCTACCCAATCTATCTTGTCAGGGGCAGAACTGCTTAGCAAGACCTTTTTCTCCTTCACAGAGCCTTGTCAAATAATAAGCAGCTGTTTTAAAGACCTGGAGACGGATAGCTGCAGGAGCTCTGACTAGCGCCAGTGACTCACAACGGTCACTGGGAGGCCATCGCTCGTGTGGAAAAAAGGAGCCCAAAGCCACCATTGCCAGCGATTAAAACCATATATCCTAATCATTCGAGAAAAAATGAGTTTGTGTTCTGTCAAACTGGACTCCACTTCAAACTCCCAGACAAAGTAATTTGGTTCCAGTCCAGTATATCTGCAGCTCCAGGTGCAGAAACTATACCAGATTAAAGGAAATACATAGTTTACAAGGAATTTGTTCCAGGGACAGTGAATCATCGCAGGTCATCACCATCCATGAATTACAGGCAGAGAGGATCTAGGATTAGTGCAGTAATAATGGTACAGAGCTCTACAGTCAAAAAGACACAATAATGACCTTAGGTACAGTGCGTGTCGGAAAGCTGATGCACAGTTTAGTCGCAACGTTGTAAAAACAAGATACTGCTGCCCTGGAATGGGCTTCGAAAAAACAACAGCTGGGATAATTCCCCATTTTAGATAAACGCTAAGAACAGCCAGGTCAAAGGAGCAGAATAGCTGTAGTCTACAGATAGACAGTAGGGGGACTTAAAATAATTTCAAAGTTAACCCAAGGATTTATGTAACACTGACGACCCAAAAAAAAAGGACAACATATTTGGAACAGATGTATTACCTCTAAAAGAGTGTCTAATTTTCACACAGAGAGTCCTGGGGGTTTGTATGAAGCTACTTAGTAACAGATGTATTTCCCCCCTCAATCCAAACAGCTCCATTTCTGTCCCATACTTTGACTCTGTACTCCCTCTGCCACTTAAGCTGAGTTTTAACAGGAGGGATGTCCAATCCAAGACCGGAAACGTCTGTGTGTTTGTGGGTTTCTATGCCAATCAAATGTATAGAAATTATCAAACTGGTTACTGCCTTAACTGGACCACTTCCACAGCCCTGCTTTAAAGAGGCCTACAAACCTGCATACTTTCCGGTCTTGAAGGACTTGCATGGGACGTCCCCGTTGCCATCGAGGTGCTTTCTTATGTCCCCACTCTTCTAACATACCTAACTGGAATGCTAATAAGGCCTCAATACAATTAAAATTCAAAACCATAATTGCCCTCTCTAATCTTTTCTGCAAGAATTGTGAAAAATTACTGTTATAAAAATAAACAATTTTATAGTATTACGATGTTATATTATTATAGTGATTATACTATACTATTAATACAGTAATAATAATATTGATGGACATTTTGCCAGCCAGCTGAAGTAACCCTGCTTTACAGGTTGAGGATTCATAGAACATTTCACACTGTGCATAAACAGACCTGAACCCAGTCTTACAAGCAAGAGAAAAAATGGCAGAGTGAATGCAAAAATCTGCTCTCTTATCCAGCTAGAATTTACATCACAGAAGGCCAGCAGGGCTGGGGTTGATCAATACTGGGATGGGTGTGTCCTGACTCCTGTTAAGACCTTGTTTAATTCAAGCTGAATGAGCCCTTCCTTCAACTACAAATGCTCCTCAACAGAACTGACATACGAGCTATGCTCCACACAACCTTATGTAAGCCCAAATCAAGGTTAGTCGTAAAGTATTCTGAGATAGTACATGCACATGTTACAGCTGTCAGCATTATCATTATTATTGGTTCCATAACCGGAACCAAAAAGATTCACTTGACGGGTTTACCATTATTATTATTTACTATTAATAAAAGGTTCAAACAAATACAAGCTTTGTATACTAGGGAAGAGATTCCGCACTCGTGACACTGGACAGCTGGCAGCCCAGAGCTGCACAACAACCCAAGAGCTGACCGATGTGACCAGAGTGTCCCAGGACAAGGCCCGAGGGCTGGCGGTACCTTGATGGAGTTGACGCGGTGCTGCTGCTGGGAGATGTCCTGCAAGGCCTTCCTGTGGGCGGACTCCCTCTCCTCCTCCAGCACGCTCTCCCTCTCGAGGAAGTGGAACTCCAGATCCTCAAACGCCCGCACCTCCCCGTCCAGCGCCTCCCTCTCCTTCGCGAGAGGGAAAAGGCGTGAATGCAAAATAGGAAGAAAGAACATCGGAGAGTGGCCATGCCAGACGCCAGGAGAGGAAAAGATCGGGCGAAAGTATGCATTGAGAGCGTTTATAATTTATGAGCTTTTAAATCACTTTAGTGCCTTGTATTCTTTTGTCAGAAAATTTGGCTTGAATGGGAACTGAGAGGGAAGGAGAGAAAGCAGCAGTGCAAGAGTGTGGGAGTGGGAGTGTGTAAGAGATTGGATTTTCTCTCATTTTACACTCTTCTCTAGGTTGGGTCAAATATCTGTAGGTCATCTCACTAAGGGGTCTGACATGTGAAGAGTATATACTTTCTAGAATGTCTTTGCACATGACCCAACTGCCTCTTTCGTCATCTGTCATCTCAGTTCTGGTCTACGTTACCTCCTGCAGGCGCTGCCGCAACTGCTCCCGGAGGCTCTCGGGCTGGGTCTCCACCTGCCGCTGGAACTCCTCCTGGCGCTGCCGCAGCTCATCCACCCTCTGCCGCTCCGCCTGCAGTCTCATCTTCTCCTGGATGAAGAGAGGGGAGGCAGAGAGAGACCGACACCAGATCAAACACGTCCCTAAGGAGCGATGGGTAAAATATCAGCAACAGACCGACACGCATTCTTAGCACACGGCGACCTGCGATTGGCTTAAAGAGCTTCAGAAAAACTCATCTTACAAGGCCAGAGTAATCCCACTGTGACATACAGTACTAACTGAAAATTGGTGAAACGTGGATTGCAAACCCCAATGGTGACTCCTTCCGGAAAGGGAAAATGTTGAGAGAGGATTTGACATCCACCATAGGATGCTGTGCCCGTGGCTAGACTAGTTTTCTGTAAAACAAGTTTCCTATATCTTGGAATGGTGTTAAACACAGCCAACCTTAAAAACATAAAGAAACCCAACCTCAAATGAATATAATGATGGAAGAGGGGATGGGACTGGACTGCAAATTTTTCAGACCCTCGCAGAATACATGCAACATCCCGTTCAAGTGATTCGGATGCCCACAGAGGCCTAATGTGTTTATTTCCAAATATTTTGGCCAGGGAGTGTGAAAACCAACTCAATTCTGCATGGCAAGAATCTCCATTCCCACTTTCCACACTGATCAAAAAGAGGAGATTGATAAGTGCCGCGAGTTTCTCTCCTGAAATCAGTGCCCTGGGTACCGATGTATGTACCTGCTGCCTCTCGGAGTGGAATCTCATCTCCTGTTGCCTCAGGGCCTCCTGGAGGGTGTCCAGACGTTGGGTTTCTTTGGTCAGCTCCTCCTGCTCGGTCTGCAGCTCCCCCTCCAGTAGAGCACGCTCCATCTGCATCTGAACCACACAACACACAGGCCAGGGTCAGAGTTCAGGAGCAACACCAGCAGAGCTTTCATCCAGTTTCATTAGCTTTCACTTTTCACAATTCCCATCTGCAAATATCCAAAACTAATTTGTTGTATAGTATGCAACATTCATGTCATAATCACTTTCTAATTAAGGATCAATACGTGTACTGCAATTTCTGCCAGCAATTACAGCCCCAAAAAGGGATCATTCCTAATGGTTTCAGTGCAAGTTTGGAAGTACAGCTGCAAAGGAAATTGAACAACTCCAGGTTGTGATGGCAAATGAACACAGTATTCAGCCCATATTTTATTTCTATGCTCCCGATAATTCTTTAAACTGTAAATCTCAAAATCCCAACATTTATGCTCCATGGGTTTTTCCAGAGAATTTATCTGATGCACAGACAATTCCCTTTGTCAAAACACTTTTGTTTTAGTCTTAAGCTGGGTTTTAACAGTTAAGGGTTAGGCTTACCAAGTGCAGGATAAAACAACTACTGTATTCAACGTGTATTCCCTTTAAAATGATGAAAATTCACAATCATACCTCCATTCAGCTTTTTTATTAGGACTAAAAAGTGTCCCTTAATGCATCCTCCTCCTTCCTTCTTGAGGAGGACCGAAGATAAGTGCCCTACAGGTACCTCAAGTTTGAGTTCTTCACGCTGCTGGTCCATGTCTTTGATTCTCCGCTGCAGCCTGGAGACCAGGGCTGCATCCTGTGTGTGCTCCACTTCTGCAGGGTGCACAGGGGCTGGGTCTTCTCTGGAGTTCTCAGTCTGCAGGCAGGTAAGATAGATACAGGGACCATGAGGATTGCTGTGGTTCATGGCAAGTCTTCAAGCCATCAAGAGAAAATCATGGAAAAAGGATGACTAACATCTTAAAAATAAAAATTATAAATTGGTACACAATGACCACATCTTTCAGACATCTACGACAAACGCATAGAGCAGGACGGCAATGATTATGATCACCCCTTGTGCAGTGAATTTGAGCTCCTTTAATTTGAATCTCCACTACAAAGACTACATCAAGCTACAAAGATTAGAGAGCAACAGAACTAAGTCATCTTTTACTCCTACAGCTATCAACCTGCTCAATTTGGACAGACAGTGTGGATATGCAGCAGTGATATAAACACCCTGTTGGTGTGTATACGTTGTACGGTATGTACTGGCTGTAAACAATTAGTAAGTTATATTACTAGTTTCATATCTGAAAACTGTAATTAACAATTAAATATGCTGTAGCTTGCACTCTCCAAAGTGGTTGTGACAGGTTTGAATCAGATGCATGAAGCAAAAAGGAGACAGTGGAGAGACTGGAGAAATATAGGAGAGTAAGAGAAGTGAGGAAAATTAAAGAATGATCCGAGGTGGACTTCTAGAGTAGAAGCTGTGTAGAATAGATATTCAGGAAGTGGAAGTTTATATAAATATTGTTTAAAAAATAGCAGCAGGAACACACCAGAGAAGTAGTGTGGTGAGTGGGACAAGAAGCCACCAAAAGCACCACCGTCCTACAGGAAGAGGGGGACAGATTGTCTGTATTAATCCAATATTGTACTACAGTCCCTGGAGAGTCCTGTGCCAGTGTGCCTCTCTCACCCTGGTCTGGGAGCTCTCAGTGCTGCTGCTCTCTTCACTGTCTGTCTCCTCCCCAGAGCTGGGAGACGAGGCAGAGCCTGAGCTGCATTCCAACACCTCGGACACGTCTATGGCCTCCCTCCTGGCAACTTGGGTAGGCATGACTAGCGGAGAGCCGATCTGCAGTGGGTTCCCTGATGTGTTCATGTTGTGCTGTGGCATCTCTCAGGGCGGCACGCGACCCCGGCAGGCCTCTGTAGAGAGACAGAGAAAAGCAGGCGTCACGCTGGGATGGCAATGATTAACGAGTGTCCTTCCACAACGACATCAGGCCATCCTTTTTGACCCCAAATTATCAGAGCTAACCAGAAGGCGAAAACAATTCAATTCTTTCACAGAAGACAACAGAAGTAAATATTTAGAAAAATAAATCAGAAGCCCTTCCCGACATTTTGGTTCAAGTACATTTAACCACAACATAAAAAACGCGCTGGAGAGGGGAAAAAAAAGCGAAATGCAACAACTAACAAAAACGAGTCAGCCACCATACTGTAAAAAACGTCTCTCGTTTCTTCAAGCGTAAAACAAAGACAACTTTGAGATCTGATTTAATTCATTAGCAACTCACTTTCATACAAAAACACATTCTGTACATCATTTCTTCAATTCCCAAGTACTGAATGTTGGGAAGAGAAATAGGTGGGATGCTCTAGTGACAAAAAGGCATAATGGATCCACTGTATGACTATGATTGCACTTAATGGTTTGAACAAGGAGCTTGACTTGACTTGTTTCCTATAGCAATGCTTTTGTACAGAATGCAGTCTTAGAAACTGTGGAAATACAGTACCTGCTGAGCAGCCTATAGCATCTTATATGAACTAAGACTTTCAATCTCCCATTTTTTTAATTATACCATAAACATATATATAGTATAATGGTGAAGCAAAACAGCCAAATTATCATTTGTGTTTCTTTATTTCAGGATTTCTTTTCACTAAGGTTATTTAAAAAGTTGCATTGCTTTAATAAACTGTATGGATGAATTGATATATTTGAGCAACATAGTCCAATTCATTTTTGAATTCAGTTAGTCTATGCTTGTTAGTTTGCGCCATAATAAATGTATAGCTTGTGGATGCTTTATAAATGTGCTGTGATTTTTTATTTTATTTTGGCTGGTTTGGAAACCCACCATTGCAATTGGATAGCAGGTAACCAGTATTCAATCACACAAAAAGGAGTATTTTGCAGAGCTCTGGCTAAACTCACTTGGGTTCCTAATTTCACAAAAACAAATGGCATCCCCATTTGAGATTATCCAATACCAAAACGTATACTTACAGAAAACAGCAGTTCAAAATAAAGCAGAACTACACTGAAGACTTAAAGACTTTTCTATCTCAAGCACTTATAGGATTTTTGTAAATCGGCATGCAGATGTAAGAAAATTGTAGCACATTTATGTACAACACAAAGCTCTGGGTGTGGGTTCACTCTGATTAAGAGCGGATTTGTAATGTAAATAAGTATTTCATTAGATTCATGTCCAAAACACAACTAAGAGGTGTCAGGGAAGCTTAGTTCTTGGGGTCTGGCTCACTGTGCTCTAACCCTGTGTAAAGCTGCCACACAATGCATTATTAAAACACAATGGTGCATTGTTCTTATTACACATGCTACACCTGGCTGGGTGGGTGCATTCCAGGGCTGGTGATAAACAGATCACCATTCTCCTCTGATCACTTGGAAAACTACGCTAACTTGTCTTTCTTGTCCTTGTTTCCTTATGTATAGCTTCTTAATAGACATATTTTTCAAGCATCTCCCCTCTCTCGTATCATCTTCCAGTTGAAAAATGAGATTTTTAGTAAGGGCCCCACTTGTGGAAGGAGAAGATGAGCCTTTTTTTTTTACAGAGATTTAATAAGGCAACAATTAATCTTTACATTTTACAATAATAAGCAGCGTCAGTAGGCTGACACAGCTCACACTTGAGTGGGGTTTGAACAAGCCAGAACTCGTTTCTTCAGCAGTACAGAAAGAAGGTTTGGAGCACAGCCAGTTTGTGTCATCATTCTCCAGCTTTCTCAGTCCTGCATCCTCTGCTATTTCTGCTACCACACAATGAAAGACAACTAGCAGAAGGAGCTGAAGGGGACAGACAATCTTGCTGTCTGTATTGTCTAAAAAGGAGGAGCAAAATAGGGAAAACTATAGAACACAACGACATTTTAAACATATTTCTGTAGTCTGGTACGGAAATGTTTTTCTGTTATGTTGACACTATCCATAAGAAATCTGTGCAAGACAATGACAACTCAGCCATTAACAGGAGCCCTTAATCCTGAGGAGTCTAACATGTTCTCAGTTCTCTGAGCTGTCTCGCAGAAAGTTGACGCTGTTTTGCTTTGCAAATGCAGAACCTGACATGTTCCTGTTAACGGCTGCTGCCAAAATGGAAAATTAACAGCACAGCAATTCTGAGAGAGGAGGAGAAGACAGAAGAAGAAGAGGTTTTGTTTGAAAGAGACGGAAAAAGAAACAAAATAGTGACACATCACAGGGAAGGCCTCTGCAAAAGCCTCTCATTTCAGAAAACAGATCCAGTGAGAAAATCATGGCATTAATTAGCTACAGTATAATATCAATAAGCTTCTAAGATTCGTGTAGATTGCAATGGGACCCTTTTGCAATAGGTCACAAATTGCCTGTGGACATCTCACATTTAGGAATAGACATGAATCCCACCCCCTGTTTCTTTAAATGATGAACTTAGAATTCCCTCCTATGGTAAGATGAGTCTGTCCTCCAGCACAACAGATAACTGGAAAAGCAGGGACAGTCTCAGTCATACCTCAGAGCATTATCACAGATACCACAAGACTTTTTCAGCATGGCCATAATCTCTGTACAGCGCTTTTCCTCCATACAAACAACTTAAAATATAAGATTATAGAGAACTTGGGGGGAATTATGAGAAAGGGGGCCAGAAGAGCATATATATATATACACACACACACACACATGCACAGTATACTGTATATACAATGTCTCTTTAGGACATACACTGCATAAACATACCTTGGGTGGAAAGCACTTTACCTATAAAAAAATGAAATACAATGACCCATTGTATTTTTTAAATACTTTACAATTTCCACGTCGAGTTCAGCCTTACACAAATTCAACACAAAACACAAAATAGTTAACGGGTTAATCATTTTACCTCGGATAGCTACTACACCTTTAACTGCATTCATACAACATCCAAGCTACAACCCCTATACATACTTTACAGGCAAATAGGGAAACATGGCTTGAACATGTTTTGCATAAAACAAAAATGCCATATTCATAATGTTTGGACTGTGGATAGCATAATGCCAAAAAGCTATAGAGTTTAAACATTGTTAAAAGTATAACAAATTGTACATGCCCCAATTATATTTTAATTTGCATGTTAGTATATGTAACACTGTTGTAACTGTGCCACACTGACGTAATGAAATCACTCTTGCTCTGAAGTATTACCGTTACTGTACTGGAGAGGGTAAACATAACTCTGATTAGACAGGAGCTTCACTCATTCCAGAACGTAGTACAGGTAGCTGCAGGTCCTGTCAGACTTCCTTTAGCAAATTAAGAACAATATTTTCATTCCTGACTCTCAACAGGGTCTTTCACCAAAGTGAATCGTGTGATTACCTCACAAAGACATGACGAAAACAGTTTCGTTCTCTCTCACAACAGGATGTGGTTCTCCCTATTGTAGAGGGGAATTCGTGGAGATTCATTGCAATTGCCCTGCGATGGTCTCAAGAGGACACAACACTGTAGGAGCGGTTCAGAGCTTTACTGGAAAGAGCTGTGTGCTTGTCAAACAGAAATCCGATCAGAAATAAGAAGCCAAGATGCAATTCCAAGCACTTACAGTTTTGGATCCAGTCACACTCATGGTGTTCTGGTCTTCACTGGGATTGCAAAAGAGCTGCAAATACCCTCCCTCCTGGAACTTTTTTTTCCCCAAAAACAAACATTCATATACCTGTGTCAGGGGCTTTCTGCGGCAGGGAAGATAAAGTAAAGCACCATGCATAATTTCAGTTTCAAGGTCAATCATGAGAAAGTTTTCAAGTTTTTCACCTAAAGTCATTTATGGCCTTACTATATAATTAACTCACTGAGATCTTGTAGGCTGCTGATGTTCTGGGACAGGTAAGCTTTGCTTGCAACCAGTCAAAATCAATCAAAAACCTGACTTGAGAAGAGAGAAACAAGTAGACATGTCAGCTTGAAGCTAAGGGTGAACTAAAGTCCCAACCTTACCACTGCAGGACTACTGGACATCAGCAGTCATACTACTGATTGTCAGCAGCCATTTAACATGAGTCACAGTTGGCTATCGAGCCATGTCACTAGCCAACTGTGACCACGATTCCCTAAAAAAAAAGCTGTGGATCATATCTAGGTTTCACGGGACGACCATGGTTTCCTCAGCTTCTTGGATATCTGCCAGCTTTCAATAACATCAGTAAGAGATGATCTTCTTCCAAACAATGACACTCCTGCCACTGTCTCCAAGATGGATCTAACAGGAGGGTGTGATAAAGGAGTGCCTTCTAATCATCAAGGAGTTACAGCAGCAAGCCTGAGGCAATTAACGATAAGCAGAAGAATTTCACTGTCCTTCCTAGCTGTGCTCTGCACAGCCTGAGGAACACATTCAAGTGGACGTCAGCAGCCATTTAACTCTTGACACACATAAAGCCATGGGCACATGAGAGACAGAACTCAAGCAACACTGAAACTCCTGGATTGAACTTGGCTTAATATGCTCAAGCAGACTGCAGGGGACAAAAACATACCCTTTAGCATCAAGATCCCTGAGAACATTCACATGGATGTCTTTTCAAAATACCAAAGAGGATGGGCAGATAAAGCCAAGAACTATTTTGGGGACAACACAACATGTAGGATGCCACTAGTGATTCTCCGGGCCAGAAACAGGCTACTGGTTTAGATTAACTGGAGTAAAACCTTCACAGAGAAGCTGAAGGCTGTCTATTTGTAACGTACCTCATCTCCTGGGACAGGACCTCTCAGCTGACTTTCTTAGAATCCTAATGACTCAGTTCTCATCCTACCCTCCCTCCTGATTTGTCTTGGTTTACTACGAAGTGAATTCAGTTGAGCAGTATTTCAGAAAACAGGCAACACTACACCAAACTCCCAGAAGGGAGTCCCCAGTGTT